TTACATTCCACATACAGGTGCCTGTTTTTTAATTTGATTTCTAAAATCTAACCTTTCAAAAATAATCATCACAAAAATGTTTATTAGTGGATTAATTTTTAATCGTCAGAGGAGTACATCCATAAATATCTAGTTTTTGTTCGACAGGTTTTCCATCTTCGTGACTTCTTTCATTGCCATGTATCATGAACATCAGTGTTCTGGTAATGTGTGAGGACAACCTGCATCCCCCTCGGAGGGATGGATCCAACTGTAAGGCAGTGAGGGTTTGATTATGCTGGTTTTAGAAGATGACTCTGATGTCTTATAATGCCTTATTCAAAGTCAGTCTAGAGTGAAAAGTCTTCACATGGGCCACTATTTAAAGTCCCATCCGCCAGACTATGGTTAGTGGTTAGATTGGTGCAGGTGTAATTATAACTAACACTTTTTTGGGTTTGTCCCTTCTTAAAACATTTTCAATTATACCAACTAAGTTACTTGATCACTTTACAAATTTCTATTGCTTTCCGATAATCCACTCCAATATGGCTACATACGGCTGTTCACTATTACTACTTTTCATAACTATAAATGTGTTTTGTGATAGTGTGCTGATTTAGAATGGTTATGAGAGGTTACGGTAAGATAAGTTACGTTGAAGTAGATAATGTTATAACAGAATGAGATTATCTAGGATAGATTTAAGTTTTGAAAGAGTAAGAATTACTTTACAGGAAGGATGGCCGGATTATGTTTTAGGCTATGTGTTTAGAAGGAGTAATGTGTTAATTCTAACTTGTTACATTTTGAATAGAAAATAGAGAGAAATTAACTTGTCTATCCTATACTACATACTATTATAAATATTCTGTTTAATCCTGAGGTTTGAGTTAAAGTAATATTTTTACTGGGTGAGAGATGGGGTAGGGGAGGTGTGGGTTCTTGTATGGTGTCTAATGGGCCTATGTCAGTATCTGTCAGTGTATGTATGTTAATGTACTTGTTTAGGATTTATTTCTGCAGTCAGTATCAAAAGTATGCTGTTTGGTTGTTTGTTAGACTTACACTTACTGACGTAAAAGTTAAAGTCCACAAATAGAGAAGAAATTATCACAGAAAATCTTTCTTCATTAAAATTAATACAAACTAGGAATAGTGCATATTTCTCAGTAAATTTCTGTTTTGTAACACAAATTATTTAAATAAAGTTGATTTTTCATCTCTTAGTCTACAACTCGCTAGTAAGACAAAATCAGAAATGAGTCATCAAAGGTGATAATTTAAAAATCATCATTTTTCAATATAAGGCATGTATGTTTGGACTTCTGTAGCAAAAAAAAAAAAAAAGGGTGTGGCCTATTATTCATGGTCGATTTTCATTCACTGGACAGACGACAACAACCATTGGCACTGGAGGATGGATTGGTAGGTTATTTCATCATATCGGAGAGGATGTTTGACATATGCCAAAATATATACACAAAAAGATAAAAGATATGGCTTTAATCACAATTCTTTATTCTTTCTAAAAGTGTAACATGTTACAACAACCATGTGATACGGTTTGACAAAATGACCGTTCCGAAATACATAACGGTCTGGAACCGATGTCTAGACTATATACACCGTACGCGCACACGAGCGGTAGACTGTATCTACTACTATATTCGTTATCGATCAAATCAACTCAGTCAATTGCTCCAACGGAAACGAACCAATCATTCAGTCGGATTCTAGTTTGCGATCTTGACCAGTGGCATATGAACTCACTAAACGCAGGTAGGGCAAACTGACATAAATGAACCTTGAATGAAAAAACAGGTCTGCGTCTGCTTATCCAACACAGAACATTGCGATATACAAAAATTCGCCTGACCATAGCAACTAAATTAGATTATTCTTTGTTTAACTTTATCGCCGATAAAATGTCCATCAAACCTTATAGTCTGAATCCCTACATGAGTTGTTTTTCTTCTTTTTTTTTTTACCTGATAGCTTCATACGACCATGTTGTCGTTATTGTTAAACCGGAAATTGATTTATTTCACCGAAGTGATACTACTGTCAGCCAAGTACCAACCGTAGCGTCAACATGCGATAAGTGTACAGCTTTGGTTCGTTTTGAATTCAAAAGGCGGCAACTGCATGAGGAAAAAGATAAGTCAATGGAAAATATATTATGCAAGTTATTTTTGTTATATTAATTCAATGGAGAGAGAGAGAAAGGGGAGAGAACTGCTCACTAACCGTACTATGCCTATAGGGAAATAACTCTGGCTTTTGAATCGCATTGTTGGGAAAAGTAAGTTTTATGAGGATTACCCAAGTTCCCCATTATTATGATACCTATTGTTTTGGAAACATGTTTTCCACCAAAAGTGAATGAGAGAATTATGAGTAACCTTTCCTATTAGGCAGAATTCCTAGTTTTTTTTTCTTTGGCTGGCGTTAGAAAATTTTTACTGGTTATGTTATCAGATGAAGGTGTCCGTGTAGTCATTGAAACGTCACACTCTATTCTTTTACAAGAACTATAAGGTGACAGTGTCAGCATCTAAACTTCACTCTATAATAGTCTATTTGTTATGTTATAAGAATATCTACTCTATTGACGTTACCAACCTGAAGAAAATGTTCCAAAATAGACCTTCTATAAAGGTAGCTGATTGATAAAAAATATTACCTATAATATGTTGATTAAATAAACACTGGCTTAATTATTGGTTTCAATAAAATCTACTCTGCATTTTTCAGAATAAAGACAGACATTTCAATGACAGACGGACAACTCGGTGTATAGTTCATTTGATATACAAGATGGCTGCCACACGCCATCTGAATTTTAATACATTAAGTGTGTTATCCATATTGCTTCAGACCCATCAAATGTATTTTCTTGAAAATAACCTTTACATATTTTGTATGAATTCTAGTAGTGTAAGTTAAATTTGAAGCTACATAAGTTATTGAAGGCAGGTTCCGGCTGACATTTAAATTTTAAAATTAAATATTTGTTACTACTTTTTCTCATTCAAAGATGAGAACAATTTATTCAATATTTCAACAGAGATGTACATCTTCACAATAGAAGAAAGCATGTCCTTTGTTATTTACTGAAACCTGTCTATAAAGACCACTCATGTGAAAAGAGAAAAGTGACCTCTGTAGACACGTAGCCTTTATATAAAGGTATTAAATTAATAAATCAGGACAGAAAACTTTGGGCCTTTAGAGACAGGTTTGATCTTATCTCAAGCATGTGATTTTTGCCGTTAAGTTTGTGACATTCTGATCTCCCAGAGTTACTGCCCTTTATTTCATTCAGTCAGTGTTATAGCGACAAGCTTGACAATTGACGGTGGCTGAGAATGGTTTATTATAGCTCAGTGTGTCCTGTTTTCACACACAGCCTCAAGTGAGCCTAGGAAATGTGTGCTTCATCCTCGCCTCTGTTGCAGTGTGTATTTCTCATTAAGGCTGTAATAGTGGATGTATAACCTGTCAAATCAATAAATCAAGAAGTCATGTTGTAGAATAAGTCACATTATCCCTAATTACTCTGGATGCGTTTGGCAGGTCTTCCGTTCACTGAGGTAGCCCTTGATTTGCATTCATTTATACTGTATAATCATTTTTTTTCATGAGGGGTTTATTTTCATTGATTTTGTGATCATTCTTTATCCAAGAATTCAGATGTCCATGAACTGTTAAAATAAGTAGATTTATTGAGCCGTATTTATCCACAAAATCAAATGTCCAAAATTTGTTTTCTCAACCATGAAAATCAAGCTCCGCAAAAAATATATGTTTTACAGTACATACAGCTGTAAAAGGTTAAGTTGGTGTCTTCATGTACTCCATGTCACTAACATCATTAAAGCGTTTCTTTCTACCACAAGCATACTTAGAAATATTGTAGATGACAGGTGTGGTAACTACCATATCTGTCATTTGTTTAATAATGACATTGAAAAAATATTAAATGTGAATATCACAGGGCACGAATTCCCAACGCACAGCCCATGTACATGTTTATATGTAATTGTGTAACTATAATACATGATTCAGACCAAGAGTTGGGAAGTCTCTATAGTTAATATAGTGAAGTGTGGACTAGATACCAAAATTAAACCATGTATACAAACACCTTTCAAGTTTTTAATTTCAGTCTGAAGCCTCTTGTTTACAACAGTAAATTTGTCAATACCTAGTGCAAAAATGTGATTGTATGTTGAAGATTTCAGACCTATCATTTTCAGGTGAAGGATGTGTTTTATTCTGAAATAGCTATGATTGTAGTAAATGAGGTTGTAATAACATGTTTACTTACAAACAATATTTCAGTTCTGTAACATAACTTGTTTTCAACCTTGAGTGTTTTTCAGTTATTATAAAATGCTTAAATCAGTTATTTTTTATCATTATTACTGATTTAAGCATTTGATAATACAGCACATGAACATGACAATTCATAAGTACATTATAATCAACATCCTCATCATCATCATCATCATCATCATCATCATCATCATCATCATCATCATCATCATCATCATCACCATCATCATCACCATCATCATCATCATCATCATCATCATCATCATCATCATCATCATCATCATCATCAACATCATCATCATCATCATCCTCATTCTCCTCCTCATCATCATCTGACCATTTTCATATGAAATAATGACAGACCTGCTGATGTTAATTTGCTTTCTGTCCAGTCTTAACCACAGATACCAGCCTTGTCTGTCATCACAGTGACTCATACTAATAACCAACATAAGTGTATTGACAGATGATGCTGTTACCTGTGACCTTCACTAAGTTTTTGATAGCCTACATGAATACTTACGAACCCGTTACAAGTAATACTTGACATAGTACATGCTGACGAAGTGATTCATCTGAGAAAACAACCAGGCCATCCTTACCCTGTTTTGACCCCATTGACATCAATACTTTGTACATAGTCTTGATAAAATAAAAAAGACACTAATATATAAGCATCAATATTTTTAATGTTGGACTGTTGACATTGAAATGACTAACAATACAAGTATACATGTACAATATCAAAGACTTTCATAGCTTTATTTTGCTGTTTACAGATAAAAATACTTCATGTCCCATATTGCTTTATCTGCAGAAGTCTGAATGACTGATGAAACTAAAAATTAAAAAAAATAATTAAATGATGTCAATCTAATTAAAATGTGTTGTTACATGGCTTAGTTTATACTAAGTACTACTTGTATTATGATTGATGTAGTCGTAACATGGCTTGGTTCACTGGGTAATACACATAGTTACATGGGGCGCACACTCAGTACACAACAACCATGTAACAGCTGATTTTAATCAGATTTTGTTTCTAAAGCCATAAATAATTTAACATTTTGGCCCCCTTAGATCTGGGCATATTGTACAACTAATAGGTTTAGCATCACTTTTCTCACACTCACTCTCCTTAAACAATTCCTCGTCATACTTATATAATGCTAATTAGATATATTCTTCAATTTATACCGAGATAGAAAAAAGCAAAAATTTACATTAAAAATTATAACATCATATGTCCATATATTGCTTTAAAATTAATTGCTTCTATCAGGCCACAACATGTATCAAACTTTAACTAAAAATTACAAATGATAAAAGGGAAATATTCTACTCTCCTGGAACATTTCATGGGGAAAGAGAAGGTTCCATGTACAACACCTTAGATAAGACGTGAATACTTGTTTGGTCATTTGATGTACATGAATCAAAATCTTAAGGTTGCATAATGATATGTTATACTGAAGGGGATGGTGTCGTCGCTCCTTTGTAATACTGATGTATTGTCAAATATGAAATGAAAATTTTGTAAATTCTTCAAATCTCAAAATCACTCAAAATATGACATTTTTACCCCTAAATTGTCACTTTTCCTGAGAGGAAAACTTTCCTGATATTTTACAGAACTTGTTTTCATGTCACTAAAATAAATCTGAAGTGAATTGGAAAAGTCATGAAGACTTCATTGTAATTTCTCAAAATCTTAAGTTTTTGTTCCAGAAAAAAATTAAATTCATGCAAACACTACATGAATATTTGATAGGTTTATTCCAAGTAAAATTGAAATTACTTTGAAAAACAAAACTTTAAATGTCCAGAGGGTGTTTATTTGGTATTGCTAAAATAATATCACCAGTATATAGATGAGAGTATAAATCTAGGTAACATATTGTAAATATGGTATCTGAGTTTTGTTTATATGTGTGTAAGTGCATTTTACTCTCGGGAAACAGCTTTGTATAAGTTGTATAACTTGTGCCCAATCCTGCTGCAAATGTAATGCAATAAAATTATGTTTAAATCAAATTTTAAAAAATGTCATCAGATGATTATACAAAATGGGGTACTGTAAACATGAACATTTCAGCATTGATCTTGCTTTAGCATTTTACATATTAAAGACATTGAGTTTGAATATTGTCTCACTAATTACGGTAATTGTTACAAATTCTGTAGGTTGTCACTTATATAGCAATTGCTGAAATACGCAAATTCATCAATGGACTAATTTGTTCAAAATAGAATTTTGCACAATAATTTGACAGTGTCTATTGGTTAAAAGTAATTGAAGTGTCACAAAAATAACCTGTTACATGTTCATACATGATACTTCCTACAATAACAGATAAACCTTCGATTTTCACCTTTATCTATTCATCAACCTATACTTACCATTATACGGCATTGCTACGATGTAACCTTACCAATATCTGTTTTGCTTTTTAAGTTCATGAACTGCCAGCAGCGTAGAAATATTGTAAATAACATGAACAGATTAAGGTTTTCTTCCCTTGTAACAAGACGAAAATTGAAAATGATAAGGATCAAACTGCCTTCAGCTGGCAATCATGGGCATCTGAATGCCAAAAGGATAAAACAAATAAAACATGATATGCTGACACTATTTACTAAATTTGACCATATCTTGATGGCAATTATATGCCCATGAATGCTGACTAAAAGCAGTTCAATACTTAAATAAACGTCATCAATGAATCAGTAGATTGTCAATTAACACAACATATAAATATTTTAAACTGCAACAGGAGTAAGTCATATTAAGATTCTTTATTTAGCTTGACTAGCGCTATGAGCCACATTGACGCTAGCTACACACCCAATCAAACATAAATATATATATGTCTACCATTAGTAGTTGTATTATCTAATGAAAAGTTCAGTCGTCTACACACTTCTATAAAGCATTCAATGAAGACTTATTAATTTGTTTTGGCAGTTGTTACACATCCTGTCATCTTTTATAGATAAAATTTATTGTAGCCAAGTTTCCTAAAAAATTTCCACACAAGATACAGAAACTGTACAAAGTGATATCTTAGCAAGTATTTATGGAGGACTATGTAATCTCAATATAAATTATGTAAATCCTATATACATATATACTACTAAACATCACAACCCTAAAATGGACTACACCTTCCAACTCCGGCAAGCTCTACAGAGTAAAATTTGAATCGAGTTAATCCTTAAAGATAACAATTGACTGTTACACATTTTGAATACCAGGTAAAAGATTTGCCTTGTCTTGATAAAAAGTCATGGGTTTGGACCTGTCTGTAGTGTTGCATTGCTTTCTGTTTTTATATACAGTATTTTACAAAGGTCTAGAAAAATATGAGTCTGATCAGTACCAAGATCAATCAGGCACAACTTGGGATCAAGAGAAACATCCACAGGAAATGTAAGAAAGATCTATGATATAGCTCTCAAGAAATAGCAATAACAAACTTTGAAATTCAAAATCCAAGATGGCCACCTGTCAGTCATTTTTTTCTCTAAACAGTCCCAAAATCTAACAGGCACAACTAGGGACCAATGGAAACCTACATATGAAATATGAGAAAGATCCATTCAGTACTTATGTCTCAAGAAATAGCAATAACAAAAACTGTTTATGTACAGACGGACAAAAAACAGGTGTGAGATTTGAATAGCTCACCATCAGATGATAGTGGACGAAAAATGACACAGTATTGTCAAGATACAGTCAAAATACAATCAAAATTCATTATTTCCAACTCGTATCACTCAAAGACCCAGTATAATTTTAAGAGTTTCATCTGTCCCAGCCAAACTTTTCACTAAACATTTGATTTCACTTAAATAGAATATTGGGATAAATCAACTTTTTCAAATTGTTCCGTGGACTTCAAAATAACAGTCAAACTGCACATAAATAAATAGCACAAAAACATTATAATTTTATATTCTGAACTGACTAATATCACATATAACACAACCAACAGAATATTGATGCTTCCATACCATAATGTAGCGATTCAGTCCTACACAGGAACACTTTTTATAAGATGAAAGTCTTGAAGCAAAATTAGGAATCTTTAAATGGACGAACTTGTACGGAATCCGGTTGTGGGTACAATGTTGCAGTAGAGGTCACATTGGAAGTGCCAGGAACAATCTGGGTATTTGAAGTGACAGATATTGTGTTGGGTGGCTGTGAAGTGTTGGTAGTCTGGCCAGGGTTCAACACTGCCATTTGTAATGCTAATGCAGGAGGAACTGGAGCAGCTCTGTTTGTTAAGTCTGTTCGTGAGTTGTTCTGATGCTTCCTACAATACGACGAAGGACGGTTAGAAGAACGTGACGACTCACTGCGACGGTAGGACACAGTCCGCCTTGTGTCAAACCCAGTTTCACTCAAATATTGTAGAGCAGTGGCTCGCAGACAGAGAGGTGTGTAATTGTCATCAACATTGGCCGCTTTACAAATATCAGAGAGAAAACGTGCGAATGTCCGTTTTGACAAGGGTTTCGGGGTGTACCAAATGTTTGAGATCCCAGGTGTTAGACATGCCTCCTTATTGTACTGGTTAAACAAATGTGTGGCATTGACATTAGTTTTTTCTAACAAAAGTCTCAGCATTTTCACTGGACAAGACGATGACTCTGGTACACTGTACATACGTTTATCATGCAACATTCCCCTTGAACCACTTTGATGGTTTTCTTGGTGGCTATTTGCGAGTGTGACATACTCCCCATGTTCATCGCGTTGGAATACAAACGAATGAGGTGTTAATTGTTGATGAAACTCCATACCCCTTGTCACAAAGTACATTGACAAATTAAACCAGACACACTGACGAAGAATGATCGGAGAAGACTCGGCATTTCCCAGGTAAGCAAAGATTTTTTGTAGATGGGTAGGTTCTATGACATGTTTGTGTGCTGTTGGCTTACAAAGCCCAGATCTTTTCCGTTGTTTCAGCAGCCCATCCAAAACGCCATTTGCATGTTTGAATTCTTTATCTCTGACAATATCTATATTCCTATGTATATTTGCTAGATGTCTGTTGATTGCTCCGCGAATGTTTATCAGTGTGTTGCTATGGTACGCCTGTTCGTTCCTTTTATTATTTGGTCTGGCACCATAGTAGAACTTTCGCAGCAATTCCGCCAAATCTAGCACACTAACTGCTGCCATATCAAGAGGTTTACCTGAAACTTCTATGTTCCAATCTGAAAATGACATTCGATTACAATATAATCTTTTCATTTCAAGAAGTGATTAAGTTATTTAAGCTTTGTTTTTATTGCTGAATATTTTTGCTACAACCTTGCTGAATAACATACACTGCAGGGGTTAAAGGATGACAAATCCTTGTTTTGACCTAAAATAAGCAGAACTGTTATGACATGGCATTTAACTAAAAATAAGTTTACTTTTAGTCTAGGTAAACAATTTGCAATGATAATCTTGTTTTCCCTAGCTGTTAATATATTTAGTCTTACTTATCAATTTTTGATGGATTATGGAAATTTTCTGTTACTTTTTAAAATCGAAGTTATCAATTCGCGATGATATCCTCTCGTACAGGAATTCGTCAGTTTCAGGTGAATGTTGTATTTCATTGAAACCATTAACAGACATCTTGGCCAATCACAGAAGCAGGATTTTCTCAGTCAAACAACAAAGTATATAAAGCAATATATCATAACATAACAGTATGATTAAAACAATACCTTCTGTAATATTCTGAGTCAAGGTATCTAAGGTTGTGTTTTTACCAGGTAATCCTACCTTGGAATAACTTCATTCCCCAAGCGGTGTTCTTTTTGGTAGATATGGCATGTCGAGCATCAAACAACTCATCAAGCTCTTCTTCAGAGGCCACTTTGAATCTTTTTGGTCGTGGTCCATCATCAGAAACTTGTGAGAGTTGTTCTGGAGATGTAATAGCACTCGTCGTGACTGGCGTTTCTGCATGAACATTAAATTGGCCATTAATACACAAATTCACATACTGAAACTATATTGATCAACATAAATAGATACCATATGTTTACATATTACTTAGAATTTGCATATAGTTTTATGGTTACTTTCACTTTTGTCTTTCTTTCATTCATGGACACAGATGTAATAAGAGACTGCGATCTCCCTCCTCCCACAGCATCACCAGATCAATATTCCTCGATACACTAGGCTCATTTTGCTGGATGAATCATGTGTATACACTCTGTCTTGGATGTCATTTCTTCAGACCTCAAACAACATCCTTGATACTCTAGTGGTTACAATCACTTTCCCTCTCTGTTCCCCCTGGAAGATGTCATGGCAAAATTGAAGGTTCCATGTGCAACCCCTTGTAGACAAGACAAAGAGACTAGTTTGATCCTTTGATGGACATCAAACAAATAACGTATATTGGAATGTTCTAATGGCTTTAAATTGGGTGTCTGTTCTTTGTTATCATCAGAAGGAGCATATCAGCCTGTGATTGGTCAGTTTTTTTCACCTGTAACCCATTCTAGATTAATCAAATTATGATAATGTGTTTAACCTCTGAAGTATCGAGGATGCCAAGGGAATAATATCATATATGGGTGGAGAATAATATTATATATGGGTGGGGAATAACATTATATATGGGTGGGGAATAACATTATATATGGGTGGGGAATAACATTATATATGGGTGGGGAATAACATTATATATGGGTGGGGAATAACATTATATATGGGTGGGGAATATCATTATATATGGGTGGAGAATAACATTATATATGGGTGGGGAATAACATATATATGGGTGGGGAATAATATTATATATGGGTGGGGAATAACATTATATATGGGTGGGGAATAACATTATATATGGGTGGGGAATAACATTATATATGGGTGGGGAATAATATCATATATGGGTGGAGAATAATATATATGGGTGGGGAATAACATTATATATGGGTGGGGAATAACATTATATATGGGTGGGGAATAACATTATATATGGGTAGGAAATAACATATATATGGGTAGGAAATAACATTATATATGGGTGGGGAATAACATTATATATGGGTGGGGAATAACATTATATATGGGTGGGGAATAACATTATATATGGGTGGGGAATAATATTATATATGGGTGGGAAAAACATCACATATGGGTGGGGAATAACATTATATATGGGTGGGGAATAACATTATATATGGGTGGGGAATAATATTATATATGGGTGGGGAATAATATTATATATGGGTGGGGAATAACATTATATATGGGTGGGGAATAACATTATATATGGGTGGGGAATAACATTATATATGGGTGGGGAATAACATTATATATGGGTAGGAAATAACATTATATATGGGTGGGGAATAATATTATATATGGGTGGGGAATAACATTATATATGGGTGGGGAATAACATTATATATGGGTGGGGAATAACATTATATATGGGTGGGGAATAACATATATATGGGTGGGGAATAACATATATATGGGTGGGGAATAACATATATATGGGTAGGAAATAACATATATGGGTGGGGAATAATATTATATATGGGTAGGAAATAACATATATGGGTGGGGAATAATATTATATATGGGTGGGGAATAACATTATATATGGGTGGGGAATAACATTATATATGGGTGGGGAATATCATTATATATGAAACAAAAGGAATAACTGACAAGTCTGTGTTTTTTCTATACTCAACATTAAAACACATCTATTTGTAATGATACTTCAAACTGCACAAGCTTTTCTCTCCTGCAGAATTAACATGTTGGCTACTTGCTTTTTCAGCGTCTCTCCCATTTACGCAGCTGGATTCTAACCCTTCTATTTTGCTTTTTGCTATAATTTTTACACGATGCTCTTTGTTGAGCATTTTCTCTTTATTTCGCAAAAGGTTCAATTTCTGTTATATGAAGCAGTATTAGACATATACATTAACTTTGTGTTATTTCTCTAAATCAATAATTTACTACTCTATATTACACTATCACACTTTCTCTAGACCACCACCAGTATGTTCTGCTGTAGGCTATTTTTAATTCAACAGAGAATGATTATTTTACATTTACACTGAGATTTTGGGAGTGTTTAACGACTTTAGTTGGCATTGATATGTTGTAAAAATGATTTTAAAACCAATAGGTTTTGGTAGCTGAACATATATAGCTAGTTATGTTACCATAGAAAATAAAGTCAATGGACAATTAGTGTGCCTTACTTTAAAAGTTAAAATTTCTTATATCAATTTTAGCCAAAAACGGAAAACAATAGAAATTAACTTCATAACATGAATAAGGATCTACACCTCTAAGAAGTAAAAACAAATCCAGTTCCAAACTTTTTGTCTGATGAAAATTTCTTGAAAGGTTTGATTTTAAAAAAAGATTAAAAGCTAAAAATTAATTTGTAGCTGCACTACTTTTTCTGGCACAGACATCAAGATATGTGTAACATGAAATTCAGAAGTAAAACATAGTTGTATGTTAGTTTGTCATCATCAATATAAATGACATCATTCTATTTACAGTACCTGTCACTCAAACTGCATTCATTTGACAATAAATGCAATCACATGACAGTTTAATGGTAAAATAAGACCAATCAACATAACTCACTTAGTAGATATATATATTTGTACTACATGAATATATATTTGTATTACAAAACCATATATATGATCAATGAAGTATTAGCAACAGTACGGACAAGCCAATTGTCAAATTTTCGAGGCAACCTGCCCCTTTATCAAGACACAAATATTACATCACATATATAGTACATAAAACAAATACAACGTTATGAATTGAAATCAAGAGCAGTGGTGTACTACTTATATGTATATTTGTACCACATATATATATTTGTACTACATATATATATATTTGTACTACATATACATATATATTTGTACTACATATATATATATATATATATATGTACCATATATATATATATATTTGTACTACATATATACATATATTTACATATATATATGTTTGTACTACATATATATATATATACCACATATATATATATTTGTACTCTATATATATATATATATATATATATTTGTACTACATATACATATTTGTACTATATATATAAATTTGTACTATATATATATATATATGTACTACATACATTAATATTTGTACTACATATATATACATATTTTACCATATATATATATATATTTGTACTTCATATATATACCGCAGTATTTACAAACATTATACTACTGATATCAATTTATGAATTTCAGAAAAGCCATTAATGTTGCCATCATGAGATTGGTTGTTAATCAAAGTGTGCGGTATGGCGTTCATCACAGGACCTTAACAATGACATAGATACAGTCTGCTGTAAGTATGATTGATGTGTATCATGTTATGGGACATTCACTCAGTATAGCTTACATTGTATATCTATCTACCAGCAAGGAAAACTTTTGTATTTTGAAAAGTATCATCACGCTGAGGAAAATCTCTAATTTTCATTGCTTAATCAGTCATTTGTGCGAGACAACATTACACTGTGTATTATACACTGCCTCTGGACATGTATACAAGTAGCTGTTATCAAATTAGTTATATTTTGCACATGGTAAGGCAAGGGAAGCAACTCTTTCCCTCATACAGATAACTGGTTATAGAATAATGAAATTCACAACATGTACATGTATTTAACATTTTAACCTTGAGCCTCTTTACACACTGATTCAATGCATTCATATGACAGAATTTAAAACTTGGCAAACCTTTTAATAAATGTCATCGACATAATTTATTCAAACTTGATGTTTGATATAATTTACAGTTTCTTTACATCCTATCAACAGCCAAGGGCATTTAAGGATGTCCCAGGTTCGGATGGTGGAGGAAAGCTGGAGTTTCAAGAGAAAAAGCACCAAGCTGCAACCAGTACCTAGTATGTAGGCCTCAAACCTGTGACCCAAAGGTGGAGGACAAGTGATCAAGATAGTTAGACATCTTAACCCCTTGGTCAACGCGGCCCCGCAAACCTAAAGAGTTCAAGATATCTCAAACAACTAACGAAATTTATTCCTCAACCAGCAGGTCTACATGTTATCTTCTACACTGTGTATACAGCTGTGTGACGTAGATCATAGAAAGACCATGAACGGTTGTATCATGATTACAATATTAAATATAAATTACCTCCCTTAGTATAAAAATCTCGCTGGAGTTGGTTACATATATAATGGTTTGATGATAACACCTGGCATTTCCAAATCAACAAAAATCAAACACATGCCACCATTTTATCTGCATTCATCATTTTATTGTTATTTATGAAACATCATCTATATCTTCTCCAGACATTGATATGATGATTAAGTAATCCAAGAATTTTTCATAAAGTTTATATGATGTTAAATTTTTATATTCAGTGCGAGCTCATTCATAACTATACATCTTCATGTTTATATAAAATAATTGTTTTTCATATTCCCAATGCCAATATAAGTTTGAGTAATTTAACACTTAAGATCTGCGAGATATAGGTGACATGTCACTGTAAGATCATGTACAGTAGATTTCACATCATAAGATGATGTTTCATCCTGACCAATAAAGATCTGCTTTGAACGATGGAGAAAATACTGCTGTTTATGTAAAGCTCCTTGATGTAAGAGGACACCAAAAGTTGTTCCTTCACAAGTACATTTTACTGTCAAATTCATGAAAATTACTATCTATTTAAATAATGTATTGCCATGAATATTTGTACCTTCAATTTTAGGCCATCAAATAAGTTTTATTTACAAAAACAGTTAGCAGACATAGCAGGAAACCAATTTTACAATCAAGTTTTTGGGTACTAATAGATGGAGATGCATTTTTTCTATATTGCAATTGAATAAATAATATCTATAAAGATTTTCAGAGTAATCTTCAAAGCATTTTATCTCTTGACAATGATTTTATTCACCAGTTGTAATTATGGTGTCCTGTGTTACACCCAGTTCAGAATCCAAGTTCCAGACCTATTTTGCAATAAAAAATAGATACGCCTATTATACACCAGAAAATTGTTTATTGTTAGATATAATGTCATACAAAGTTGTTTTACATAGAGTATTGTCTCTGCACATTCCATCATCAAAGTAGTGAACCTATTGCAGAAACACTAAATTGTGTTTGCTGTTCTTTGCGTCCTAGGAACAACCAGCAAAGGTCTTTCTTGCATTATACAAGGCTAATAATCAAATATATTGGTCACATTGAGTGTAATTTATCAGGACGTAACAATGAATATTAAACCGCATCAATTGTGAAAAAATAGCTGTAAAATGCAAGTTTATTAATTAATTACAATTACAATTAATTAATCATTGCTAATTGGTAATTGGTAGTATAAGTTAGTATGTTTTGGTTGTGGGAATGTATAATATATATCGGTATGATTTTCTCTCTCTCTCTCTCTCTCTCTCTCTCTCCCTCTCCCTCCCCCTCCCCCTCCCCCTCCCCCTCTCCCTCTCCCTCTCTCTCTCTCTCTCTCTCTCTCTCTCTCTCTCTCTATAGATATATACTTTAACCAAGCATAGATAGAGTGGTGCAGAGAGAGGGCTAGTTATACCAATACAATGCTATTCTGAATTCATCTCCAATTTAATTCAGATTAAGTTAGTTCGGAATGGACACCTGCAATCATTAATCTCAATAGTCAGTGGAGATTGTTGACATCTAACTGGTGAGATAAGCTTTCAATCTCTCTCACAGTGGTCAACAGCGACAAGTTAATGATTTCAATGATTTAATTGTTTATAAGTTTATTAATTCTGCGAGTCCGTGTGGAAGTTAATAATATATGATAACCTTAAGAGGTTAATAATTGAAACATCAGCAGCAGTTAGACACATGTTTTCTCTCTGTTCTCACATTGGAAATTTATTTTAAGGTAGTACAGACACATGTTGAAAAGCCGGAAACCGATTTGTGATATGCATCTTTTATATGATGTCATAAACATATACTTAAAACTTTGAGTGATGTGTATCTACTTAATGTGCACATGTAATTTTGGGGGATGAAAATTGCACAATGTGTGCACCTAAAACTTCAGTCAAAATCGATCTGCGGGAACCAAGAAATCTATTTCAGAATGTTCAACTAACATGTCAGACCAATGATATCAAGTCCAAACCTTCAAATTTGTTTTCATTTCATTTACTGATACATACCCATTAATTACCTCCTGTTTAATCACAGGTACAATACAATTAAAGGAAAACAATATGTTTGTGGCCTTCTTGTTTATTTTCTTTGATAGGCTTAATCAACAGCGTTCAGTTTTGAAATCACAAGTACAAGTTCATCTTTATCTATCAATGACCAAATAAGGTAATTACGATCTTCACGAGTTTTTTTCAAATGAAATGTAATGTAAGCATGCATATGTGTATGGTCAAAACGAAAACAATGATAATGTTACATTGTAAGATAATCGGGCCAAGACGATTCGCTCTATGTTATCAGACAACAGATATATTACATAAACATCAAATTTAATAATGAATTACATACATAGCCTAATGACACTCTGTATACTGTTATGTCAAAGACAACTTCTACTATTACACATGAAAACGGACTATGTGCTCACAGCTTCTGGTTCGTCGTGATATCAGATGTAAATGAGAATAAAATTAACCCTGTCAATTTCTTACCAGTAGAACATGTGTGTCAAGAGATAATTATATTAGGATCAACATTTTTTACAATGTCCCAAATAGAGTACTGTCCTTGCCGTTCTAGTTTTCTGTCTTGTTATTAAGTATCATGTCTCAAACAGGGTACTGTCTTTGCCGTTCTAGTTTTCTGTCTTGTTATTAAGTATCATGTCTCAAACAGGGTACTGTCTTTGCCGTTTTAGTTTTCTGTCTTGCTGTTTGGTATCATGTCTCAAACAGGGTACTGTCTTTGCCGTTCTAGTTTTCTGTCTTGTTATTAAGTATCATGTCTCAAACAGGGTACTGTCTTTGCCGTTCTAGTTTTCTGTCTTGCTGTTTGGTATCATGTCCCAAACAGGGTACTGTCCTTGCCGTTCTAGTTTTCTGTCTTGCTGTTTGGTATCATGTCCAAAACAGGGTACTGTCCTTGCCAATCGTTAATTTTCTGTCTTGTTATAAATGGTAGCATGTATTTATACATTTAGTCCTGATTTTGCAGAATGCTGACTTTGATAGTCTGCATTGATATATACAGTAGTTATCACATATTTTATTGTTGTTCAAAAATAAATCATCCAATTCATTTTGTGTAACATATAACACTAATAATCATAATGGCTGCCTTACAGAATCTTCAATTCTTCCATGACAAAAATAACTTAAAAGCCCTATAGCTACATAGAGCGTGCACCAAGCACTTTGGACATGTATTATCTATAAACACTGCACATTACCTGGTTTGTAACTGTATACCAACATACTCGGAGATAAATGGTTCTTATCTTAATGACCGGAACATAACATTATGACACGATTTACACAAGCGCTAAATCATTTTATTTTTTTAAAACATGTTCACAGGTTTTTCACTACATTTGCTATAATCGCGACACAAAACCACTTTTACAAGGACATACACAACCACAAGGCAGAAATAATACACAAGTTAACATCATTCTCAGTATATCTTTGGATGTAACATCTATGACACGAAATGTTACATCCAGGTGCTAATTTTTTGAATGTTGTAAATCTAAATTAAAGAACATTTCTGAAAAGTTGATACATTTCATCAATCTTTTCAATCTTAATCCATTCACCTTGTCTCATTACATTGAAAAAAACATATATTAACATTAATTTTTGCTTGTGAAAACACCTCTCGACTATGGACAAATGGTATTGTGTCCATTCAAAATGAGACTTACAATAGAAATTGTGATGTAAATATTTCATAAAATTATAAAATGTTTTGGTAGTTACATCATCGTTTTAAGAACTTTCAATTGATAAAATTGATGTTTCATTCAGCAAAGGAGTGCAGTTAACACACATTTTATGACCCCAAATTCCTCCACATATTCTAATCAGCTAACTGACTATCAATTGATCACTGATTCAAATATCTTGAAAGTTTACAGACTCTAGATAAAGAATTTTAAATTAAATTCTTTCTATCCTTATCAGATCTTTCTGATGGTCTTTGCTAACAAATATTTCTCTAGGTTTCTGTGACCATAATACATATATCTCAGGTGATATATCTGATAAATATTAACTTACTTTCAGTTGCAGTGGGTCCCATTACATATGTGCCTTCATCACCACTTGGACTCGAAGTTTGTTCAACAGACTGCCAGGAAGTGTCGATATCTGTATCATCATCGGGAGTCTCTATTTTGATGGTGTCCAAATGACTGTCTGTATAATTTTCATCAACAGCAGTGTCATCCTCTGTGTCTGTAGCATCCATTTCTTCTGAATTATTCACTGTGCAATTTCTTTCCCTGTGACTATCAGTATCCATGGTTTCATCGATTAATTCGTCCTTGACCTCTTGTGACTGACTTTCATTTGTATTTTGCGATATGCCATCAGAACATTTGTAACTCCCATCCTCGAGATTTTCCAACACAACACCTACGCGCTGCGAAGATGAACCCGCGAGATGAAAAGAATCATCTACAATCTCTGTTTTGATATGTTGTACTTCATCAGTGTACGTTTTGTCAGTCTCTGTATTGTCTGATTCAACATTCTGTGAATCACTTTCCCTATGATATATGCTGCCCCAGTTGTCTAACACAGAACTTTGTGACTTGTTCTCAGTTTGATTGATACAATCGTCAGGAACTTCTACCTTTATATGCAGTGTATGATTTCTATTTTTAGTATCACTATTGTTCGTTTTTATCAGAGTTGTACCTCCAGCTGAATCACTACATTCCTCAGGGCTGTCTTCCTTGATATCTTTTGTTTGATTTTCTTTCATTCCCTGTGAACATTTAACCTCCTGACCAATTCTTTTCTGTGATGATTGAGACAAAACTCCCCCACTTGTTTGTAAATGACCTCCTGTGTTATCACACGTTTTCTGTAAAGAACTCACAAAGTACATACTATTATCAGAAGCAGAATGTAGCACTCTCCCTATTGGTGTTTGATGTCTATCAATCACTTTTGAGACATGGCCCGTATTGTCAAAATGGTGTTCTGTGGTTGATGTTTTTTCACAAGATTTTAGTTTGTCCTTTTGTACTCTATTGTTCAGGAGTCTTTTGCAGTGATTTACAAGTGTGTTGACGCGATACTCTTGGGCCAGGCATATTAAGTCCTTGGCAATGTTTTCAGTAATCTCTTGATCAACCTTGTCGGTGTACAGGTACCTGTGAAAAAACAGTGGCAAAGAGAATTTCATTATCAGAAATTTGCAAATTGTATGCCAAATTTCCTTCCCATAGGGAGAAATGGGGCTCTCAACCTAAGGGAGAAAATTCTTAATGGCAATCACAGGGGTTGCCGAGTGTTCAGCAATACATTTTCCCTGAGTGTTTTCCTATCCTATCCACATAGGGTGAACAATTATTTTTCTTCTATCCTAGGCCTATTTGGCTTGGAAATTAAAAAAATTTGAAAATCACATCTCATCTAAAGAGGGGCTAACAAAACTTTTCCCTGGGCCTAAACAAATTAATTACATAAGTTCTTTTTATTTTCCGACACCTATATCTTATCTATCAAGCTAGAAACCTGAATCATATAAAACCAAGGACTGACATATTTCTGTATACATAACACAGAAGTCATAATTATTTTCCTTCCATACTTTCAAATTCAGTAATTTTTGCTGGAATTTTCAGGCAAGACCAGAACACAATTTCAAAAATTTCGGTGAATTCCATTACTGATAGAGGTAGTGGATTCTCAATTCAAGCCATTCCAACAGGTTGTATGGACCCAAATATCTTAATCCCAAAAGTCCACAGTAAACATTGGATTTTCTATGGTAAAGTGAATACATCACATCATGTAATATATTAATGATTGTTTTAATTGAGAATATCCACATGGTTATATTACCTAATGTCAATAAAAATGTTTTCTGAGAGGTAACATTTTTACAACAAACTTACATGAGAAATATTTCTTCCCAGAGAAAATGACAGATATCTACCTTTCTCCGTTATAAACAGGAATCTGTTTATGAAGTGTGGAAGAGTAAAAAAAATCTCCATAGAGCTCATGAGAATCTAATGGGTATATTAACACAAAAGATTAAAATGGTAAGTCAAAGTCTGTTATATAGACCAACATCTTTCAGGTAATGTAGAATTTTACAAATCTCAACAGTTTCAAACAGGTCAATGCAGTCCAATAAAAAACATTGAACGGTGAATGACTCATTACATCATGAACTATGTGAACATGTATGAATGTGTAAGGTATGTATGAATTACATCTAAAAGAACTGACCTGAGAAAAATATTGAAGACATTCTTCGGAGCCTTTGCAACCTTGATTGACCACTCAGTAAGGACAGGGTCGGATTTCTGTGTGGTCAACATGTCACAGAAAACTGGACTCCGACAGATCAGTATACTTCGATGACCTTTTACTACATCCTGTTTCTCTCCGACAACAAATCTCACGTCTGAGCCAATCTTTGTGTCAAACAGATGTTTCAGACAGATAAGCAGGTTACTGTCTGACTGCCAGCCAGTGGAGAGAACTGATGCAGTCATTTTTTTTTTCTGTAAACAGAAACAAAATTAAGAACAATTTATACAATTTGTATTACCATAAATATCTTGGAAAAAAACCAAGAGGCTAAAACGTATTTCCTGACACAAACTTAGAGGAAAAGTTTATTATCAATCCTATATATTCACATTTTACATGTTTCGGCCATCATCAGAGCCTGATGACAGCTTGTCTAGCTAGCCAAAGTGCGACTGAAAAATATTGAATCCAGATGTTAAGGTTCCATCTTCTATGTCCTTGGTATGTAGCATCCTTCATGGGTCTCTGGTGACTCATTCATGGGTATCCATTTTTCAATTCCTACAAGAAGTATCGATCTACTACCAAAGAAATCCAGGGTGTTGGTTCTATGCTTCTCTGTCAGGAGTCCTTTTTAAATCCCATATATTGTACACTAAAACCAACATATACAAGATATGCCTTTATTATTAGAATACACACCTATCTCATACATGTACAACCTCCACTCTGTGATGTGGAGACCGTGATGAGGATCACAGGGATTTAGCACAAATTCTCAATCCTCTGTCCATTTTATATGTATTACAGTCACTATGATACATACATATATATATGGACATTGAGACGAAAATTCATGTCAAATCCCTGTGATGGATGTGAGCATTGAATTTTGCAACCTCAAGTGAAGATTTTTACAACCACAAGTGAAGATTTGCGGTGTGTGGTTTAATGTCACAGACCTGTGAATGACTAGCATGTGCTGACAAAGGACCTCTCACTTACTAGACTTACGCTCAACCAATCGAGCTGAAGAAAAGTTCTCGCTAGCCGAGCGATATTTTGCAGCTAGTATTTACTAGGGTCATGTAGTCTAACAATAATTTAATTCTTGTCTTTGTCACAGTTAAAAACATAAATAAATTATACATACTCTAAATACTTCTGGAAACGGTTAAGTATTTATGTTGCAATTTCACAATGAACCAATTGCAAGTTTCCATGCTGTTTATACCCCTATCATCACTATTATGTAAACTAACATCAGAGACATACATACGTCTCTGCTTACATTCATTTTTTGGCGACGCCTGTTTAAAAAGGCTTCTTAAGTGTTTCATGTCTGTTATTATTTCAAATAGTTACAATTAAAAAGTTAGCTCATTGTGCCATCGTTGGCATCACTAAAAGTGGAAACTAAAGTAAGAAAATGTATTCAATACGCGTTTTGGACATTTGATTATAACATTGATCGGCTGCGATCACAACTATTTACCGACATGGAACATCGGTACATTTGATTGCGTCGTGATAAAATAACAGCTCGAGAGTCTTACAAACATTGTATCTAGGCTCGAGATATTTTTCAAAAAACGCTTACCAGATCTGCATATATAAGCCAGCAGGACTCCTATTGTCATTTAATTATACTATATCCATCTCTCCTCACCGTAATGGCGTTTTCTTCCTAGGAAAACTAAATAACGCGAGGACATTGGAAAGTAACAGGGAACTATTGGAATGAAATTTTGTTTGCATTTTTATTTTTGACTGAAAGCTTTTTTATGTTTTAGTCAAACAGTTGAACTATGTCAATCAAAAATAACTTTCCCATTTGACATTTAATATGAATTTGTTCATTGACTTTCAACTTTTTTTTTTTGAAATTTCAACTAATCCGGAAATCGACTCGAAATTCACACACACACTTCTGGTTCCTGTGAATTAACTGGAACGGTTGGGACTGGCTGTTGACGGAGGGTGATTACGTGGCCAGAACGGGTCGAATGGAGTGGACATGTCTGTCTAACAAACCGTGTAACAAGGGTAATTATCATCTATATTAGTTTGATATGGGTTTCTTGTATTTATCACGCACAGCAGTAATCGTCACAAAAGTAGACTACACCGTCATATCATAGAACTGTCTGATTGTTACTCCTTTATTTTACTAAACAAAACACGACGTAATACGAGTCAGGTGGTGCCAGGAAAGTTTGAAGTTTTCATGCCATGTTGGCATTCTTTGTTTAAAGTATCAATAAAACGAAACGCCAACAAATATCGGTTAACTGGCTATGGTTAATGCTTAAAGAAATGAAAATTGTATTGAGTTTGATGTTTCATGTGCTTGTTTGTATGACATCATGATATTGGTTCGCGTTATATGCCGAGTATACAAAGTTCAATGGAAATTTCATACCAATTTTTAAAATATATGTTTAGAAATAATTAAATGTAAGTCCAACAAATTCAGGAGAGTGAAAATGCTGTCATAGTATTTTGAACTCCAGAGTTAGTTAAGGGGGAAAGCAGAGCACCTATATATGCTCCATGCCTTTCACTTCAGGAGGAATTTTTCTCAGAAAGATCAAGACCTTGGATTTTATCCTAGACACAAACGAAACATGATCTTAAACAAATAACCAGTATAGAGCTTTGCTCTTATTAATAATATCCGATAATAAATAATTCGACAAGTATAGGAGTAACAACACTAATATCTAATACAGAGACCTATATTTACAACTAAGATTGGATTTCCTCCCGGTTTTCAAGATGCAATTTATAATGCTACTTTTATACCACTTCCTCAAAAAAGAGGTAAGTGAAAACTTAACATACCTCAAACACTCACTTATGTATTGCATTCTAATTAAAGACTTTCCCTCTCAAAAGGTGTCAAAATTTACCTTACCATGTCATGTATATATCCTATTTCCTGTAACAAGAACACACTTATCTATGGCTTGTAGAATCACCAACTGTAACACAATAGATCTTATAAAGAATAATTAATATCTAAATGTGTATTAATTAACACTCACTACTGCTCTAGTACTATCTTCTAAATATCATTATTCATTTTCACAAACATGCTAAAGAACCAATGTGAAAACTATTGAATGTTGGTGGGTAGATCATGTAGTAACCATGCTGATTTAATTATCAGCCTTGTACCAAGACCTGTCAACATCTCGTGCCTATCTCCTCAGTACTCACTATTCAGACCTGAAACCTTAAATGTGTTAATTGTATTTGTGGAAACTCTTTTCAAACTTTTCGTATTAGTTTATGATATGGTTCTGGAATAACTGGAATAAGTACTTGCTACCTACTGGTGTTGTATGCTGTTAAAATGTGTTGGAACCTGGTGTGAACAAATAGATTTGCAGTAATTTAGAACCTGGATTGGAACTTTTTATTTACTACAACTGAAGCACATATTCACACCTGAAATGTTATACAGCCTACCAACTGATCTTCAGTTAACCCAAAGAGTTTTGATTCTCTATCCACAATTTTATCTTTGCCTCTAGATCTGTCATGGTTGGATTAATCCTCAGTCAGTATGTTGGGCCCCTAGGCTTTTACTGCAGACTGGATATTGTAGTATATAATGGAATGTCAATTCAATTTTTATTTCATTTATTCACAGGTGGGATGAAGGGGACAGTTCAATCAACAGAGAATAAAGCCAGGTATGATCTGCTGCAGAACAATAAGATTTGTTTAAAGATTGAGCCAGAGGAAGGCATGTGTGAAAAGACTTGTGTAGCAAATGTGGAACCAAGGGAAATAAATCTTGATGAATCAGTATCATTCATAAAGGTTGAATCAGAAAACGACATACATCAAGAGTCATCAGTAGCAGATGAAGCATCAAGGGAGGCAATTCTCAGTGATTCTGTCGTATCTGAGTCTTCTATCAGTATTGAGCCAGATAACAGCACAAATAAAGAGACATCTGTAGCAGATATGACACCAAGGGAGGTAACTGTGTGTGTGACTCCTGCAGAAAAGATTTCTATAAAGACAGAGCCAGATAACAGCATAAATAAAGAGACATCTGTAACAGATATGACACCAAGGGAGATAACTGTCTGTGTGGCTAATGCAGAAAAGTCTTCGATAAAGATTGAGCCAGATGATGACCGACATAGAGAGGCATCTAAAGGTGAACCAATGGTCAGATGTGTGACACTTATACTCCCAGACGATGGTATTTATTGATGTCTTTTGACTTAATTTTCCTGTTTATATTGTCTAGTAATATAAATATGTTCTACTGCAAACTTCAATTTTTTCTACCACTATTTCATCTCTATTTCCTCTACCCTTATTTTTCCCTGGTTCACTAATTGTGGTAAAACTTTTATTCAACACTTTGTTTGCTCTGAAATTATATATCAATGTCTTCAAAAATCACATGATGCCAGACAGACATTAGACAGTAGAATTCTTCATTGTATTATGCATATTTGTCTAAATGTTTTTTTATTCTTTCAGCAAACATTGCTCTGAACTCTTTCACTTCTACAGATGAAAACAATACTTGTGATAAATGTGGGGAATGTTTTTCCACGTATTCAGATCTGAAGTGCCACACCGCAGTGTACCACAGCGAAAACCTTGGTACATGTGCAGGCAGACACTCATGTAGTACTTGTGGTGAAAACTTTGATACACAAGACACACTACAGAAGCACATGAAGAAACATGCTGATTCAGAGAAAGCTTTTACATGTGACATATGTGGTAAGTACTTCGATGAAAGAAAAGATCTAGCTATACACATTAAAACACACGGTGATGAAAAGATGCAGAAGAGAAAACATTCGAAAAATGAAAACAATGTAAAAGAAATCGGAAGGAAATCAAAGAATATTTCAAACACAGAAAATTTGAAGTGTGACATCTGTTTCAAAAGCTTTCATAGCAAACTTTACCTTAAAAAACATCAAGCTGTACATTCTGAAGTAAAAACTTACCAATGTGATTTCTGTGATAAAAAATTCAAAATGGCTGATGGATTAAAGCAGCACCTACAGGTACACTCAGTTAATAAACCATACAAGTGTTCAGACTGTGGTAAATCATTCAAGCGGCAAAGTCATCTCAACACACATTCTGCTATACATTCTGGACAAAAGACTCACAGGTGTGATCACTGTGACGGGGTATTTAGTGACCTGAGTGGTCTGCTGCGACATCAAGTAGTACACACGGGTGAGAAACTGTTCAAGTGTGACATCTGTGGTAAATGCTATGGTAGGATGGGGACTTTGCAGAGACATCTTATAATTCACTCCGGTGAGAAACCACACAAATGTGACGTTTGTGATAAAGGATTTTCCGATACAAGTGGTTTGAAAAGACATATGATGATCCACACAGGAGATGCTCCGTTTAAGTGTAGCTTATGTCGTAAAGCATTTATACACTCTACTCATCTCAGCCGACACATAAAGACACATAATAAAACCACTTACAAATGTGATCACTGCAGTAAACATTATACAAGTCTGGCACTCTTAACAAAACATACAAAATTACACAAATCATGAAAAAAATTATTTCACAAATTCCCTGTTAATATACTTGTCTTGAAATAAGGCCAGGTAATGTTAAAAATTCTAGGTCAAGGTCACACTTATTAATTACAGGATAATGAGATGAGCTTTGTTTGTAATGCTACATTAACAGTAATAGATATGGATGGGCTTATTAACAGGCATAAGTGTATGGATGGATAATGTCAAATCATTGTTCTTCAACAACAAAAAATCCTTTTTCTGTGGCACCTGATTACGTCTATAAATGCTGCTCCTGAAGTTCACTAGTACCAGGTACTGAAATTCATGTAATCTTAGCTCACCTGGCCTGAAGGGCCAAGTAAGCTTAGGTCATGGTGTGGCGTCCATTGTTCAGCATCAACTTTTTCCTATAAATAACTTCTTCTCAATAACCAATGGACCAAATGGTTTGATATTTGTCTGTTCCTAGGATAAAACCTTTGCGAAAAGAAATGACCTTGCCTTATATTCAAAGACACAGGGGTCAGATTTGTTTAAACATTTTAACAACTTCTTCTCATTAACTAAAAGTTCTAGAGAAATGATATTTGGCTGGTATGTTCGTAGGATGAAGGGCGACAAAGTTCAGAAAAGAAATGATCTTAACTTTATTCAAGGTCACAGGGGTCAAATTTGTTAAAACCTTTAAACGATTTTTTCTCATGAACTAAAAGGTCACGAGGCATGATATTTGGCTGGTATATCTTCCAGGTGAGCGCTGCAGGCCCATTGGGCATCTTTTTTATCTATCATTTTGTAGATTTAAGCATTCGCTTATTAAAAGTGCATACTGGTACCTACAAAACCCAACAAAAATCAAACACCCACAAAAATTTAAAACTCTCAAGTAAATATGTATGGACATTAGTTTAGTACACAATATATAACATAAAATCATCAGCTTGTGACTTGTAGTCATTTTTTTTTAAGTGTCCTTACATTTGTTTATTGCAGTTGGGTGATAAGTTTTGTAGATTCTGCTTCATTGTCTGAAATTTTCCATTTCTGTTGATCTCCACGACTGTATCAGAGTGTAGAATGATTATAGTACATGTTAGTGATGGGAAAGCGGTTAAAATCTGCAATCAATCATTGTATACAAGTTGAAAAGGCATTTCAAAGTAGTTAATTGATTACATATTCATCTGATTGTATGTGAAATATTCAGAGGAAAAGAATGCATGCTCCCTGGCTGTATTATTTTCTTTTTCTGAAATCTTAATGTAAAATGCCTCATTTACCTGAAATGTATGTAATATTGAATAATTATTGGCTCCTGGCATCTTTATCATGAACAATACGAATTTTGTTTTGCTTCAACAAAAGAAAACATTTAGGTTCCGATAATCAATTTTGAAAAATCATTTCAAATCTTTGCATCAGCTTAACTGAAAAAAATTGAAGCTGAACCAATTTTGTATGAGTTGTACCAATATGTGCCCTGTTTGGTGTAGTTTTGTACAAGTTGTACCAATATGTGCCCTGTTTGGTGTGGTTTTGTGTGAGTTGTACCAATATGTGCCCTGTTTGGTGTAGTTTTGTACAAGTTGTACCAATATGTAACATGTTTGGTGTGGTTTTGTGTGAGTTGTACCAATATGTAACATGTTTGGTGTGGTTTTGTGTGAGTTGTGCCAATATGTAACATGTTTGGTGTGGTTTTGTGTGAGTTGTACCAATATGTAACATGTTTGGTGTGGTTTTGTGTGAGTTGTACCAATATGTGCCCTGTTTGGTGTAGTTTTGTACAAGTTGTACCAATATGTAACATGTTTGGTGTGGTTTTGTGTGAGTTGTACCAATATGTAACATGTTTGGTGTGGTTTTGTGTGAGTTGTGCCAATATGTAACATGTTTGGTGTGGTTTTGTGTGAGTTGTACCAATATGTAACATGTTTGGTGTGGTTTTGTGTGAGTTGTACCAATATGTAACATGTTTGGTGTGGTTTTGTGTGAGTTGTACCAATATGTAACATGTTTGGTGTGGTTTTGTGTGAGTTGTACCAATATGTAACATGTTTGGTGTGGTTTTGTGTGAGTTGTGCCAATATGTAACATGTTTGGTGTGGTTTTGTGTGAGTTGTGCCAATATGTAACATGTTTGGTGTGGTTTTGTGTGAGTTGTACCAATATGTAACATGTTTGGTGTGGTTTTGTGTGAGTTGTACCAATATGTAACATGTTTGGTGTGGTTTTGTGTGAGTTGTACCAATATGTGCCCTGTTTGGTGTGGTTTTGTGTGAGTTGTACCAATATGTAACATGTTTGGTGTAGTTTTGAAGATTTTTGTCAAAATCTCTCCTAAGGATGTGAAGAAATATATTTTTAGCTGTTCATGATAGAGAAATGAACATTTGTGAAATATGCAATCTTTTTACTAAGAATTTTTATTTGTTTATTCTAGTTAGAAAGATGTGAAACTAATGTTGTCAAACAGAAATATACTTGAGCGTTTAGTGTGTGATCATGGCTGACATGAATTCACAGTTGCCCGGACTGTTTATTTAATGTTGTGTTACAATTAATAACTTTTGCTATTTACACAATGAATGTCATTAATTTAGTAGACGTAGACTTTCAGAAATTGTTAATAAATTTAATCTAGTCAGTGTGCTTTTTTTCAGAAATACAGAAATATTCATGCATCACTAATTTCTGAAGCAATTTTATGCAATATTTATTCCTAATAATTTCTAATATTTGATTTTTTAATCTAAATTATTGAACATTTTGTTTAATTTATTTTCCTTGTTACTGATGAAAAGTTCATCTATAAAAATGAAAAAGTTTTTTTTCTTTTTTTTTTCTTTTCCCTTTATTTTTAATGCTGTTTTGGACCAGTACTAGTCTTCCATTTCTTTTCTCGTGTACTTTTAATGTTCTCAAGTCTTTTTATTTAAATACAATGTTTGCTAGTATGTAGAAACATATAGTTTGTATATTGTTTTGTTATAAAAGTAATATATATTGGTGATCCAGAGCGGTGAGGTGATTTAAATGTCAAGAAAAATAAAATTTTATCACATTTTTCTGTTGTTTTGTTATACTTTTTTTTGCGTTTCAGTTGTGTGTTCTTAATTTATCAAAGATTTTGTGAAAAATAAACTTTAAAAGTTGAGCAATATAGTCCAAATTGTGTAGCTGATGCAGAGCGAGGGGAGATAACTCTATGTGAAGCCAGTGTGGTTTAATTTTTTATAAAGAATGAATCAGATAAGAGTCCATATACACACAGCTGTATAGCTGCAACAGAACTTCAAAAAGAAAATATGCTTGAACACTGGCATTAAAATTGAGGCAGATCTAGAGAACAAAACACACAGACAAACTTTGATAGTCATAATGGGGAACTAAAGGAGACCTCTAAGTGAATCTGTTATACTGAAGTCTTCTTTCAACAAGACAAAAACATTGAGATTTCTAATAGAATCATATGTAGCACCAAGGGTACAGTGTAGCCAATTCATCCATGAAGATTGAGTCAGACATGCATGCAGTAGAGACATCTGAAGCAGAATTACCAGTTAGATGTGACAATTTTACTCCCAAACAATGGTAGGTATCCATAACTGTCTTGTTTATCAGGTGATGTTTACTGATATAGATTCTGTATTTTAGGAAAGGTTGATGGCAGAACTGGATTACTGATGAATGGTTGACAGAAAGACAATTAGAAATTCTATATATTTCATCAGGATAGTGTAGTTCAGTGTTAAACGGTTTTATCAATAATGATGCTAGGATGCTGACTGTTCTACATGCTTTTTTAAGGTGGTGTTGATCTGTGTCAGGAGCTTTTAAATTTCAAAACACATTAGATCTTACAGAATATCAACTAAATCAGAGCTGCCTATCAAATTTTGGTATTTTGTCAGTTTTGAGTTACGGCCATGGTGGCTAAGAGAGTAGAGCCATGGTATTTGAAACATCTGGTAAATGTCCGAAGCGCATGGTTCAATGATTTCTACTTTGGATGGTCTGCATTTCCCCGGAAAATCAACTACATTCTGTATTATAGTGGTTGGGTCCTTTCTGTACTATAGTGGTTGGGTCCTTTCTGTACTATAGTGGTTGGGTCCTTTTGTAACCCTCTCGAACCGTTCGAGAGACACAATTGAAGGACTACCGAAGGTGAAGAAAAGCGTCTTTTATTTCCGGTAAGCTTACAAAACTCTCTCGCTCCCGTACCTGCCCTGGTCCCAGGCCTCGTGACACCAGTCTGTCCAATACGCTGTCTAGTGACCGGAGTGAGGGACGATCTTGTCCCCTCCTATTTATGTCTAATGCCTACGTGACTGTCAAATTTGATGGGTGACCCTGGTTGACCAAGGCTGTCAAACTATTACTAATTTTGAATTGGATCCCAGACATTCTGAAGACAAAACAGTCGAAAACAAATACAAAGCCTTCAATTCGGCCACACACACCAAGGTCCGGTCTCCCAGTGTAAACAAAAGACTTTCAAAAATTACGTCACATAAACATTTGTCAGCGTTTTAGGTATTAACTATTGCGCAGTTTGTGCACTTGCCTCAGCAGCAGCAGTACAGTGTAGTAAAGTGACCTTAATATATGTCCCCCACAGATCAATGACTGTGTGTCAGAACATAACTAAAACAGATAATTCTGCTTAATAATTAAATATTATAAACATCAACTCAGTAATATAACCAAAACAGATAATACTGCCTAATATCTAAAGCAAGGGCAGATAACCTTGCATAGGGTTACACTTTCTGTACTGTAGTGGTTGGGTCCTTTCTGTGCTATAGTGGTTGGGTCCTTTCTGTGCTATAGCGGTCGGGTCCTTTCTGTGCTATAGTGGTCGGGACCTTTCTGTACTATAGTGGTCGGGTCCTTTCTGTACTAGAGTGGTTGGGTCCTTTCGGTACTATAGCGGTTGGGTCCTTTCTGTACTATAGCGGTTGGGTCCTTTCTGTGCTATAGCGGCCGGGTCCTTTCTGTGCTATAGCGTTCGGGTCCTTTCTGTGCTATAGCGGTCGGGACCTTTCTGTGCTATAGTGGTTGGGTTCTTTCTGTACTAGAGTGGTTGGGTCCTTTCTGTACTATAGCGGTTGGGTCCTTTCTGTACTATAGCGGTCGGGTCCTTTCTGTGCTATAGTGGTCATGTCCTTTCTGTGCTATAGTGGTCATGTCCTTTCTGTGCTATAGCGGTTGGGTCCTTTCTGTGCTATAGCGGTTGGGACCTTTCTGTACTATAGTGGTTGGGTCCTTTCTGTACTATAGTGGTTGGGACCTTTCTGTACTATAGTGGTTGGGTCCTTTCTGTACTAAACTGGTTGGGACCTTTCTGTGCTATAGTGGTTGGGTCCTTTCTGTGCTATAGTGGTGGGGTCCTTTCTGTGCTATAGTGGTTGGGACCTTTCTGTACTATAGTGGTGGGGTTCTTTCTATACTATAGTGGTTGGGACCTTTCTGTGCTATAGTGGTTGGGACCTTTCTGTGCTATAGTGGTTGGGTCCTTTCTGTGCTATAGTGGTTGTGTCCTTTCTGTGCTATAGTGGTGGGGTCCTTTCTGTACTATAGTGGTTGGGTCCTTTCTGTGCTATAGTGGTTGGGTCCTAGGACAAAATACTATACCCCAGTTGATTTGAGTGGTTTTTGATTGGTGTACTGTGTGTTACCATATGGTAGTTACCATTTTTTTGCACTAGCCTAATACAAGGAAACCCCACCTTATAAGGATACTGGTTGTTGTTTGGGTATTTTACTTGCATATTTTATGTAGTTGAAGCCATCATAGTGTGTAGATAGTAAAAATTATTCTGACATTCTATCAACTTTTTTATATCGGCCTCCAGACTGATATAAAAAATAAGTAGATAGATTGTCACAATCATAATAAGTGTGTAGAGTGCAAACAGTACATTGTCCTACATTCTTTCGTTTTTATTGTTTTCAGCAAAACTTGACCCAAGCTGCTCCCAGTGTAGTATGATAAAGTTCATTTCACCATCATGGTATTTTGATGCCGGTTCATTTCCCAATGCTTCACAATATCACCACAACAAAGAATGTCTGTAATAGTTGTGGGAGATGCTTCTCTAAAGAGGTCACTTTACAGAGGCACCAGAAACTAAACCACATCAAAATTCCCAGAAAAAACGTATTAACGAGTGGTGTCAAGAGAAAGGACTTGACTGCATAGGAAGATTTCATATTACATGTAAAATGACATAGAAACAAAAACAATCAAAGGAAGAAAGTAAAAAATCAAACGGAAAGCAACAGAGAAAACTTCACGAAGCAAACTATTTAATTGTAGCATCTGTTTGAAGGAAGTTTATACCAAACTTCAGCTTCAAATCCATCATGAAATTGTACAGTCAAAACATACACTCCTGTAATTTCTGAAACAAAACATTTCAAATGCCATTAGATTACAACAACTGTTGATTCTCTAATTTTATTTTAAATGCCGTCATAATGTCACCTGTCACCGTATCAAATAAAGTAACATGTCATACACAAATAATACCAGGACAGATGCCATTGGAGGTTTAACAAGGGTGTTTAGTATCAGACCAGCTTCTGGCCCCTGAAACTGGCATACCCAACCAGTATATTAAGAGGACATGTGCACGAGGAAGCTTTCACAGGACCCCTCAACCCAAGCTACTGCCCGTCATCGACTGCCTCTTCCATGGGGGAACTCTGCTGGCTTGAAGAAGGATACTCAAAATGTTATATAATTGAAGAAAAATTGAGATTTCAGGTGTGTCTGGAAAAATACTGTCACAACTGTATAAATGAATTTTGTTAGATGAACCCCTACAATAAAACATTACTGAAATTATAATTTGAAATTCAAAAAGGGTATAGGAAAGTCATACCACAAACATTCTCATTTTAACATGGTAGATGTTAACTAGAATTCTAAAAACTCTTACCAGATACTGTTAATTAAAGACAGAAGGACACAAACAGAATGTATACATCCGTACTTGTCAATTTTCTTAATTAACAAGCTAAACATCTAATTTTATCAGGTACATGTAAATCTATAAGGAAAGAAGTACAGTTTAAAACTTGCATGTTAATTATAAAGTATTAGTTTTATAACTTTTACATCTTTGATGTTTGAAGTTCTGAAAGATCACAATTTCCCTCTTAGAAAATTCAAAATGTTGATGAATCAAAATTCAGCATCTACTAGCACCAACTGTATAAAAAGAAGTATATAACTGAGTGTGTGACAATAAGTCTGATAATAAGCCTTCCACACAGATGTATATTACTGTTTAGTAAAAGTCTGCCCTCTGTGAATGAGAATTAAGTATACAATGTTTTGACTGACTGCCTGGGCTTATTGAAGGACAAGTAGTGTAATAGTAATATGTAGACCTCTTATTTCTGCCCAACTTCAAATTTTTATGAAAATATTTGAGTTTTTGAATTTTCAACAGGTTAAAGTTCAAGTTGTTTTTTGTTATTTTTAGTTTTGTTTAATTATTTATAAATAGATTTTGTTTTGGTTATTCTCTCATTTAAGTAAAAGTCCTTTTGTATTATATCTATTACTGTTTTATCTTGTCTGTCATCCAAGTTGATCCACTGTAAACTTTTCTCCTTAAAAAACTTCTCAATAACTAAAAAGTCTAGAATCATGATATATGGCTGGATAGGATCTTTGATGAAACTGAACAGAGTTTGCAACAAGAAATGACCATGACATATATATTCAAATTAACAGGGGTCAAAGTTGTTAAGTACATGATTTCTTATGATTAACCAATAAAACTCCATTAGGGATGTGGTATACTGACACAGCTTGTTATCAAAAGCTTTCTTTGTAACGTTACAGTGTAGCCATTTTTTTTCATGGTTATATTTCCTTATTCCAGTGTTTCAAAACCATTTTCTATACAGAAATATTCCACATTATTGTCCCGCTTTCCCTCCCAAGGGAAGTAACTCTGGGAGATCAGATTGTAATAGATAGTTTCCAACCATAACTTTAATTGTAATTGAGAAATAAACAATGGTTCTTATCTTTGAACTTTGACGTAAAGTAATCCTTGTGCTTATCTAAGTGATCTTTATATACTTATCATTCTGAGACGAAAGTGTGATTGTCGCCACAGGTAGGCCTATCTCTCTCTCTGAAAGCGGCCTGTTTTGACTAGCATTGTGAAACAATTAGACTCACAAGAAAATATTGACATATCAACAGTATCTTTATATCAAAACTCATTTTAATGAAACTATAGCAAAAATATATAAACAAAAGAAAGATTTACATGGACACATATGAAAATGTACAAGGTGACCATGTGTTCCCAAAAGCATCTTCTGCTTCATCCACAACAAACATCATGTAAATCTTGGTCTATCCAGGCATCAGTAATACAGGTTTAGAAATAGATAAAGTTTAGCCAAAAATATGTTGTTTTCCTCATAGTTAATATCTTAGCTTGCCTAAGTGACTTGGAGATTTATTTCTGACTCTCAACATCATTCATTTTCTGAGTTTATCCTACCACTTCAAAGTTTAACGATTTTTGTTTTCTGTTATAAATCAGTACATCACTCATACCTCGACTGCTGTCCAGAATGAAGAAGCTGACACTTCTGCTGGTAGTCCTTTACTGTCTGTATGGTCAGTAACATATACTGAAATAGTTTGTCCAGAGATTCTTACATGGTGGTGATGGTGGTGGTGGTGATGATGATGATGATGATGATGATGGTGGTGGTGGTGGTGGTGGTGATGATGATGATGATGATGATGGTGATGGTGATGGTGATGGTGGTGATGATGATGATGATGATGATGATGATGATGATGATGATGGTGATGGTGGTGGTGGTGGTGGTGGTGGTGGTGGTGGTGATGGTGGTGGTGGTGTTGGCGGTAGGGATGGTGATTGTGGTGTTGATGGTGATGACGTTCATAGATGTCTAATCCTAGATGCTGCACGGCCTCAGTTATTTTGCATAGGATAATTTTAAGAATAAACTGACATATAATAACCTACCCCGCCCACAAAAAAAACAAAAAAAACAATGAAATAGAACAATTAAGAAATAATAAATAGCATTTTATTCAAATTCATCCTTTTTTCAAATAGTAATAAATAACTTGATTGTGGCAATGAAAAAGGCTATATAGAAGGTTGGTGGTAAGGAATATACCCAGGATTTATGCACTTAATTTCTAGAGTGAATAACATGTGTGAATACATATGTAACCCTATGCAAGGTTATCTGCCCTTGCTTTAGATATTAGGCAGTATTATCTGTTTTGGTTCTATTACTGAGTTGATGTTTATAATATTTAATTATTAAGCAGAATTATCTCTTTTAGTTATATGTTCTGACACACAGTCATTGATCTGTGGGGGACATATATTAAGGTCACTTTACTACGCTGTACTGCTGCTGCTGAGGCAGGCGCACAAACTGCACAATAGTTAATACCTAAAACACTGACAAATGTTTATGTGACGTAATTTTTGAAAGTCTTTTGTTTACACTGGGAGACCAGACCTTGGCGTGTGTGGCCGAATTGAAGGCTTTGTATTTGTTTTCGACTGTTTTGGCTCCAGAATGTCTGGGATCCAATTCAAAATTAGTAATAGTTTGACAGCCTTGGTCAACCGGGGTCACCCATCAAATTTGACAGTCACGTAGGCATTAGACATAAATAGGAGGGGACAAGATCGTCCCTTACTCCGGTCACTAGACAGCATATTGGATGGACTGGTGTCACGAGGCCTGGGACCAGGGCAGGTACGGGAGCGAGAGAGTTTTGTAAGCTTACCGGAAATAAAAGGTGCTTTTCTTCACCTTTGGTAGTCCTTCAATTGTGTCTCTCGAACGGTTCAAGAGGGTTACACATATTGCCAATCTATTAAAGGTTATATCAGCATGCAGAACACTGAATGCAAAGTACCACATAGCAGCTAACAGCCTCTGACCATGAGATGCACTAATTAATGATATATATATAGTCACATGCAGTGTGACAGTGGGAGTCTTGGTAAAAACATGAAACTGAGAGACATTTTCATTCATATTTTAATGCATAAAAATATGCAGGGTGAATCTGCAAAATGACACAAGAAAGTCAGGTGCACAATAAAAGTATGACTTGATATTTATATGAGTAATTCTTGAAATAATATAATCCCACTGGCTACTTTCTTGAATTTTGGTGCATTATGAATGAGGAGACCACAGCAAAACAATGTAAGGTAATATACAATTGGATATCACTTACAGGTGATTCTAATGAAATGCAGCATGTTGTTTGTCTTCACATTGAACATTCACATACATGTGTAGAGAAGGTAAACCTATAATCCAATAACTATTTGAAATTGATGCAACAACAATCACATCATTCATGACAAGTATAGTGTGACCTTGCTTGAAGTGCAAACTACTTCCTCTTAAGTCCCACTGCACCAGTCAAATACAAAGTATATACTCTCTACATATGCAGCACTGATACCATAAACCAGCCAACAAATCATGTCTTCTGTCTATATATTCTGTATTCATCACTAATAAGACCAAGATAACTATATATTGTACAAGTTATAGGCTAGTTGCTTATTTTGTGACCAAAATGAAACTACTGTCACACACAAAAGGTAACTGTAATCAATCACACTACTTTGCAAACATGTCGGTGCACTTCAGCATGTTACAGCAAAATAAAAAAAAAGACACATATAAGTCAAAATTTATTGCTATCGGCTATAGGAATATATCAGGATAGGCAGATTTTTCCAAGAAACTCAAATTCAACTCACTTGCTGCAGGTGTGATGGGAAATTAAACAATGATGGTACGACTTCAGCCCGTAATCTCACAGTCTGACCCGTGCGGTCGAAATCTTCTGCTTTGAAGTGCGCACTGCAGAGGTAGCTGCTCTTTGTGGCACGGAAGCCTTCTCTCTTCATGGCTAATTCCCATAGGGTTTTCCGCTCAATATCTGATGGAAACCTGCACAAAGAATGAAAAAAAAAAACCCTTATTTTGCCACTCCGGTACATGTGATAGAGACTATGTTGTCATTATGTTAGTGACCATATAGTACTGTACTAGTACTGCTGTTCTGCATCCTGTATTGCCCTAGTACCATTACTGGGTCAAGGCCACAAAATGACAATAAACACACAATGAAAGACGCCCAATCTATGTACTCGTCACTTTTTTAGGTGCATTGCATTTCTCGTCTTTTTAACAAACTGCACTTCAGTTTTTACTGCACAGTCTTCAGCACTATATATATTCAGTGATACGGAACTTAGGCCAAACACATAATGTGACATATATATTTTTTTGTTAATTTCTCTCTGTAGGCATGTGGGATAAATTAGTTCACATTGTGTCAAGTAGTCAATGAAACCAAAGTATTCTTTGCCACTAAAATGAAGCATTTGAAGGCACTGACAATCAGTGCTGACAGGCCTCCGTGTGCATGGTGTAGGTAAACTACAATGTGCTGAAATAGCATGCTATAGCTAGCCATAGACAACCTTTAGATTACGTTCAACCCAAATTCACTCCCTATAAGGTCAACCCTAGGACCAGCAATGTTACGATCGTATTTTCATTATAACAACTCAAAATCCTTGTAAAAAAGTGACTTACTTGTGAAAAGTGATGCCTCTGTTCCTTGTTTCCAAAGAACGCATGTTATTGCAACCGTAGGCTGCACAATAGGAAGGCATGACGCCGATGTAACAGTGAAAGTTCTTCTGTTTACGACAGCCTGTAAAATACCTTCCCAAGATGGCGGACCGCTAGACACGTCACATGCGCCGCCTGCATCTAGGATTAGATATATATGATGATGTTGATGTTGGTGTTGTTAGGGATCGTGGTGGTGGTGGTGGTGGTGGTGATGGTGATCGTTCATTCATTACCGAAAATATTAGCTGGTTCGTACACAAATTTCCCCGAAATTTAATTACCTTTATTTCTAATAACGCCGATTCAGTGTCCCGTGTAGCGTTTTGTCACTCAGGTGATTGTTCAAAAGACAAGTGGATTCCATCTTCCGATTCATATTTTGAATCAGAAACAGTACTGGTATTACAGAAGCTTTTATTGTTGACATCTGGGAGGGGGTTGAAGAATGTTGAAACAAACTGAAATAATGTCAAAAATCAATAAAGTGGAGACGTATACACCGGAATTCAATATGTAAGAAATTTAATATTTATCTCTGTTTCGAATTCCACTGATGACAGCGTTACTTACGGTAAGAAGTATCATTTCAAAATTGAACTGTTATGGTATGACAGCGTTGACGAGCCGCACGTTTTAGAGGTTTCAAGCTAATCGCGAGAGTAAAACGAAGGGAAGTAACTCGTGTAGATCAGATTGCCAATAACGCACAACACGCAGTGCTCTTAATACTGACGTCATTAATGTTTTATATCACACACCTTAGTTTGTAAGATAATACTGCATTACCGTGTAGATGTATTTAAATCGACTTTGTCGTTCACGAATTTCTAAAAGTCGGCTTTTGTTAAGACAATATCAGATTTTATCATAACGAGGTTTTGTTTTTGAAAACTTGTTGTTACAGAGCCTGGTGTTTTGTTACCAATGAAGGAAACAAAAACAAATCCCGATTTTGGCGACAATATTATCGCCATACAAGACAGGTTAGATACCTTACTTCTGTCGGGCATGCGCAATAGACGTCAGACCAATACTTGTGCCGGGAAACCTTGCCTCTCTCCATTTTGTCACTGCGAACACAACGAAACATGCTATTGTGAACTTGACCCATATGGATTGTAATATGTTAATCTGGTAAATAATTTGCTCATTTCAATATTTGTGTGCTTTTTTAAAATTTTTTTCCATTATGAAAATAATAATTGCTTCCAGCTTCTGACTGACTCAGTAAAAAGTTAATATTACGGATCAGAGTCGTTAGTAATCCAAGGCCCAGGGTTCGAATCCTAAAGTAAAGACATTGGGAACCTGTGTAAGGTTATCAGTCTTGCTAACCGTACCTAAGTGGCCACTATCCCTGGGTAGAGAATATTTTCCCATCTGCAGCTGAAACTAAACAGACCTGTTATAATGACAATGAACTAATATTGGCATGTCAGATTTGTACCATGCTTTTCTTGAGGGACTCAGAAATATCAATCATTTTAGTAAATTCACTATTTTTTCGCCTGTTAGTTTTATAATAATATAATATGACATAAAAAGAGTTGTTTTAAAAAAAAAAAAAGAAAAAAAAAAGACCACTTTCATTTCGTCTTATATATACCTTATTCTTACTTTATTTTTAGAACAAAACTACTTCAAACTACGGCGGGCCGAGATCTTCCGTTTAAACCAATTTATTCTCCCTTCTCCAAGAATACTTAAACCGAATTTGGTTCAAATCCATTCAGTTGTTCATGACTAGAAGTGAGTTTTAGGAAAAGTTGACAGACAACGGACGGACGGGCGGCGCGACGGACGACGGATGCCGCGGTAACCTTATACAGTATAGCTCACTTGGGCCGTCAGGTCGAGATTTTTCTAATAATCTCTGCAACACATATGGATATGAATAATGAAATTATTTGACATTCGATTTTAGAATTTAGTTCATTAAAAAGTTGTATTAAAAAACAAACGATAAAAATTATATTTAAAAAAACACGATGTCATGATGCTGAAATTGTACGTGCGATCCCATGGCGATACGCCTATCGTGTGAGACAATGCTATAGAAATAATCGACATTTTAATCATATATCGGAGATTTCCGGAAAGCTTAAGATCGTAACATTTTTGTCCAATTTTATTTTTAGATTTTTCGACATCATCGGCGGGGAGGATAGGCTAGTGTTAAATCTGGTTACGCAGGACTAGGTTCAGTTGCCTAAATGTTGATACGTGTGTGTGCTGTGGTCAAAATTACATTTGAAGCCGAAGGATTTTAGATATAACTCATAACTTGTTAGTGTTAGTAAAATTTTGGCCAAAGTGGACGGTTACACTCCATATCTAAATTCATTTCAAGATAGACGATACAATTTAGGATTCACATTCCACTGGTCATATCTACGAGTTACCTCCCTTTGTATACACATTATATGATAGCTAGACCATGTAGAATATGTATAAACTGTAAGTACAGACAGATAACATGAAAAGTAGGTGCCTTACGATCTGGACCTGTCGTTTACCATGGAAAACGTAATAGCTCTCTGATTATCGTGTATATTGCTAAGATCTTACCATTCAAGATATCAAATGTTTATACAGATGCAACTATATATCACAAACTGAAATACAGTTTTACAAAAAGTGACGTAATCATTTGAATGACAAAGTATATCGACACCGTTATGTTTGACATCCAAGCATGATGTCATTTTATAACAGGGATGTATGTTTTGTGACTCAAACTTAATCTTATTAATGTTTCTTGAGCCCGCATCTTTAAAAACTGAAAAACAACATTTTGTCGTCTATTTCATTATTAAGCTTCCCAAATTTTCGAGAAAGCATGCAGTCACCGCCTTGTCCGTCCATCCGTTTTTTCATGCCAAGAGCATTACTTTGCCCAAAGTTAAGTAAGAATCGTGTGTTTACATTGATGATACTAAGGCACTGTGCTGTGTACCAAATTCAGGGCACTCGACCTCTCAATGACAGAGTTATTGTCCTTTCTTAAAATTTCATGTCTGGAGCATAACTTTGCCTGAAGGATCATGAATTTTGCTGTATACAAAGCTTATACTAATGCTTACCAAACTGAGACCCAGCAACCCCTTAATTACAGAGTTATTGCCCTTGGTTAAAATTTTGTGTCATGAGCATAGCTTGCTTGCATTAAAGCTATGATAATATTTATATACATTGGTCATACTTAGAGAAAACGCCAAATTCAGGGCCTGCAACATGCTACCTACAGACTTTCACAACACAATACTGTATAGACTGGATTGTCTGCCATAGTTTTTTTTTCATTCTTTCATTCTTTGAAAGACTTCGCTTTGTCCAAGAAAAGTTGTAAATAAGTCAGGTATTACAGCCTAGACATTGTACAATTAATGGATTGTTTTTTTTTCTCATTTAATTTTTTGAAAATAAAACCAAATATTGCTTTCTTAAGCTGGTTGACAAATTACTTCATTGAAGTGGTTATTTACGATCGTTTTTCCAATTTTGTCGTACGATCATTAGTATTTATGTCAGCATATTGTCTAGCACTGGAACAAAATAGCTAACTATCAGTCTGCTGGAACACTGGTTTGATCATACCACCGCATCTTCATTTTGTGGACCATCAAGTCATGGAGACCATCCAATGAAATTTTGGTCTGGAGACATTGTTGAAAAGCTGTCCCTTTCAATATTATTGCCGACGGAGAAGACATATTAGGTGGTGAACGGCCGCAAAATGACAGCATTTTTGTTTTCTTTATTTCACAGATACTTTACAGCTCTCACAAGAAACGTGTGTGAAAAGCTTGTGTTAAGCCATGTGTCCAGGTTATGAAGTTTCTGTGTGATCACACTATAGAAGCACCAAAGGTCCGGAATTTCTGTGTGATCACACTATAGAAGCAACAAAGTTACGGGATTTCTGTGTGATTACACTATAAAAGCACCAAAGGTACGGAATTTCTGTGTGATAGCGAATACAAATAGTAGAAGGTTATGAAATTTCGGAGTGCTAACACTTTAAAAGTGCCAAGTTTCCGTGTGAGAATATAGTAGAAGCATCAAGGTTATTAAAATTCTGTATGATACGGAAGCGCCAAAGTTATACATTTCTGTGTGATAACCTACTAGAAATGGGACAACTTATGTAATGTCTGTGTGATAAGCCTATAATAGTGTTAAGGTTATGAAGTTTATGTGATATAACACTACAGAAGCCCTGTTGTTATGGAATTTCTGTGTAATTACTATACTACTATAAAAGCACCAGTTAGCGGCCACA